TGAATGTTCTGAAGGCCTTGGCTTCGATCATTTCTATGTGCAATCTCCATGTAACTCTCTTATCGAAGATTACACCTATTATAATAGGTGTAATAGGTGCTATAATCCATGCATTTATGTTGGAGGGAAAACTGGAGTATCGTATAGCAAGTAGTGACATACACATAAAACTAAGCAACTGTAATAATCGTAACATTGTGAAGCATTCTATCCATGTCAAATATGATAACTATAATTATAGTTATACTTATTATAGTTACTATANAGTAACTATAATAAGTATAACTATAATTATAGTTATCATATTTGACATGGATAGAATGCTTCACAATGTTACGATTATTACAGTTGCTTAGTTTTATGTGTATGTCACTACTTGCTATACGATACTCCAGTTTTCCCTCCAACATAAATGCATGGATTATAGCTGATTTTTTAGTACTCTTTTGAATATGTGAGGAAATAAAAAGAAGACTGAACTCAGGTAATGCTTGCTACCATTCAGTTCAGACCCTTTTTTCTTCTTGTCTGCTGTAACAAAACAAAACATACAAAACTATAATTTTTCCTGTAGTTTTCTACGGTGTAAAACTTGGTCTCTGACATTAAGGGAACAACACAGATTGAAGGTATTTGAAAACAGAGTGCTGAGAATATTTGGACCAAAGAGGGATGAAATGGCAGGAGGGTGGTGCAAAACTAGTTTTGTCACATGTATTAGTGAATAGAGACAAAGTTTGGATTGGTGAATAGATTTATTGACCACTTACAGGTCATAACTACAAATAATTATTACACTACTGCTGATTTCCACATTCAAAGTCACTTCACACTAAGTCTCCTAAGTCTACTTTCACTAGTCATTGCTTCATAACAGCTCTCAACACTGGCTATTCCTCTGTAAAGTTTTCATGAGGCGTTTCCTGGTAATGAATGTTAGCGATGTAGATTCTTCAGTTTCTGTTGTCCACTGGTTAACACTCAACTGAACTAAACTAGTGAACTGAACTCCCAATTACTTTATGCCTCTCGTTATACAGACTTGGGTCGGACCTCACGGAAAATGTGTTACATGCCATATTGCGTGTTCACTGGACTGTTACCCAGCACTGGGCATGGAGCAGATCACACAGAAAATACTTCTTCCAATACCTTTTCTATTGTTGCTTGCTCGTATTTTGGGTGTTTCCTAAGAATGGGTCTACATGTCACAGTATTAAGAAACAACAAAGTTTTGAAGGTACATATCACTGCACTACATAAACTCAACATGAAAATTATGAAAATATGAACATATATAAATGAACAATTTTAATATTTTTAACGTTCGACATTTGTCAATATATATGATAGATATATATTTTAGTTATTTTAATGTGAGGACAAGGCATGCAATGAACTAGTTTGACGTGGATGAGTAAGCACCTGAAGATGGCATTATTATGCCGAAACATGTAGTGCGAGTGAGAGAAGGAGATAGATGAGTGTGTGCACTGCAGGACGGTATAAATAAATCATGGATATAAATGAAGATAATTAAAAACTTTTAAATAACCTTTTTCAATGGAGAAGAAAATTCCTGTAAAATTCAAACAATACCACTATAATGGAATCCCAACTTCACGTTCTTCAATTTAAATATCTCCTCACTCAACACTTAACTTCAGTGGTGCAAATCAGTAAGAGGTTAAATTTCATTCACTTAAGATTTTCCTTGCTTCAGTGTTCAAGTCTACTGATCCACTGCATTAAGGTATAGATTTCTTTAATGTCATAGGAAGGGGAACTTTTTAAATTATGTGAAGATACACCTTCTACATAATAAAACTATAATCTACTGGATACATCACTTGCTTTCTCTTTGCTATTGGCAATTCGAGATCCAAACTGGAATGCTCGTTTTGGTAGCACTGCAGCATATTGAAGACCAAGTTTCCATGCAGCTAATCTTAGAAGCAGTTTATCTCCCACTCCTGGTGGAAAAGCTGGCTTTGGGTAGCACCTGAAAGAAACAAGTATAAAATTCTCTACACTAATACAAAGTTCAGCCATATGCTTGAGGCATTCAAATTTAATTTCTTTTCACCACACGCAGTGGTCATGCATAAAAGGCAGTCATAGTGTCTTACAATGCTACAGGAAAGACTGCAACCTGGAGGTAACAATGTGTAAGTAGAGTGTAATCCCAATAATCCAAACTCATTAAAGTACTGGTGTGTTCGGGCTATCGAATTGTTGAGATTACTGGATTTCAAATAAAAATTTTCAGTAAAATTATTTACTCAAAAAGATATATGTGCAGTTTATATAAACAAAGATTTGAATCTGCAGATACCAGACTATATACTTGACTTGAGGCAAGCAGTAACCAGGTTACATGGGCCATTGCCGCCGGTTTCTCATCGCAGCAGCCCGGGTTCGAGCCCAGGTCAGGCCATGTGGGATTTGTGATCGAGAAAGTGGCACTGGGTCAGGTTTTCTCCGAGTACTTTTGTTTCCCTTGCCAATCTTCCTTTCCCCAATTGCTCCACAATCATCATCGTCTATCATCTGGGGACCACCACCACCACTGCCTCTGCAGCCGCCGACCTCACAACAACAACATGTTACATCTTTCACCTCTTAGACAGGCAGGTCCATTCACACATAATATGTTTCACAAGAATTTATTTTTACTGCTAGGAAGTAAGATAATTAGATTAAATTTGTAATTTCTGGAGGTGCTGATTCTTCTTTGGTGGTACTGTAAGTTAGGTCAGATTTGTGAGCTTCCACTGTATCAATACATGTTAAGCTGTGTCAGTCATAATACCTAACTATGAGCAAACTGGCATAAAGATTCAAAGTAAAAAATATTGTGCACTACAGAAACAAACTTAAGTGTCAAATTCTTTCCATTTATCCTTTTTGCCCAAAGAGTTAATAAATGTTGATAATACTGAGATCTTAACTTATGAAATGTAAAAATGAAAAATGTGAAATACCTCTCCCAGGGCTGCAAGGAACTGATGTATGAAACAACAGATTCATCTAGGTAAGGCAGCCTGCCCTGGCAACCATGATCTGAGACAATTCGATTATCGCGTCCTAGATTCCTGGTAGATATCCTAGCAAGGTCCAGCTCAAGTTCCTTCCTCAAACCACTCCATCCTCCAAGGTTAAAAGCTGTCCTGTGCCTTTTATATCCTCCAAACAATTCATCAGCTCCCATTCCAAGGAGAAGTACCTTACCAGTAACATAACAAGCAAGGAAAGTAATACCAATGTGATATTTCCCTTTAAGAAGCATGGAAAGATATGCAATTCTTGCATGATGGTAAGTTCTATTAAGTCCATTGTCAAACGCAAATCATTAAATAACATTCATACTATACTCATAAAACTGTAATGCTTTCATGGGTGAAGTGTGTTTGATGAGGACTTGGCATACTCAATGGTATACTCATACTGAAAAATATTTGACTTGAGATGAAGAAATTATATGGAAAAGCAATCTGCCATTGGTTGTCACAAATGGCATCTATATCACTGGTTAGGAAACCAGTGTGGTTCTCTGCTATATTGTATTTTTAGAACAGAATGAAAACAATAACACTGAACACAAAAAAAAAAAAACTCCATGACCTGTATTCTGCAAGCTGACTATACCGACTGAGCGATGGCCGCTTGTTGGCGAAGTCAGTGCCAACTTTTGTGGATAGAGGGTCAATCTCGGTTTTCTAGACCAGAGCCGCCACTTCCTTGAAATTGCTCCTCAATTATCCCCACAAGGCTGAGTGGACCCCGTTCCAGACCCACTACATCTCAGAAAAT